TTCCCACTAAATTAGTTGGTTAGGTTTAGGAAAGGATTATGGATAGAATAAGAAGTTTGTTACGTAAATTATTCCATGATGCTATCTCAGAGAATCTGTCGATTTTTGGTGCTAAAATGTTCAAATGTATAAAAAAACATTCAGTCTTTTAGACCATCATGATGCTGTTTATAGTGAAGACATCTCTTGTATGTGTTTGTCAAATTCAAACACAAAACGTGAGGTTTTTAGAGGGAAGAAACTGTAGTTTATTAGTGGTAAACGATGAAAAACAACAAGTGAGCTGTCAGTCTGTAAGGCTCCTGTTATGCTGTTTAAGAGGAGAGAAACCTCTTGTTTTTTGTGTTAAAACGAACAAATATACTTTAATCAGAAACTGGAGAAACGTCTCTGTTAATACTGACTGTAAAAAGTGAGAATTATCGTTTAAACAGCGTCTGTTCCTCGTTAACGCTTCAGATCTGTGGTAAGCTCCACCCGGCTGGCACCTCCAGGTCTATAAAACAAACCACACACACACAGTCACTTGCTTGTGGAAACGTGTGTGTGTGTGTGTGTGTGTGTGTGTGTGTGTGTGTGTGTGTGTGACCTCGCACCGACCCCCCCTCTCCACATGACTAGATCCCACAAGGGAACCCCATCTGCTCTCTGATTGGCCGAGGCCGAGCTGTGATGTCATCGATTGCTCAAGTTGTTGTTGATGTTCGAGAGAGAGAACATATTCAAATGACCTCAGTGTGTGTGTGTGTGTGTGTGTGTGTGTGTGTGTGTGTGTGTGTGTGTGTGTGTGTGTGTGTGTGTGTGTGTGTGTGTGTGTGTGTGTGTGTGTGTGTGTGTGTGTGTGTGTGTGTGTGTGTGTTTTTCTCACTGAAATGACGGGTGGAGACAATATAAGAAACATCTGTCAATAACGTTTATTTTACTAACACGTAAATCTGCTTTACATTAAAAGAAATGAAAGTCATTAAAATGTAAATAGTCACATCTTGCAGTTAGAGATGTATTGAGTAAAAGCATGTGTGTTTATGTGTCTAAACGAGAAAACTATTTTAATAATAAAAATAAATGTGTGTGCGTGCGTGCGTGCGTGTGTGCGTGTGTGTGTGTGTGTTGATATACAGGGTGTAAACAGTCTCTCTGTGTCTCTGTGTCCTCAGGCTGACCAGCAGTACGCCAGCAGTGTAGCAGAAAACCTGAAGCGCCTGTAAGTCCTCTCCAATGATGGGATGTTGTTCCTACGGCAACTGCCCCCACCCCTATGTTTGTGTGTGAGAGTGTGTGTGTGAGCATGTGTGTGTGTGTTTGATGTCATCTTGTACATGGCCGCCTTTGATTTCTGCAGCCGTGTCATTGTTCACGGTGTGTAGTCAAAGTGCAGCATGCATCAGAAACCTTTTTGTAAAAACCTTTTTTACAAACAGACAGATTTTACCTTCTCCATCTTTGTTTCCTTCCTCACCTCCTCTCCTCTTCCTTCTTTCCTTCTTTCCTTTCCTTCCTTCTCCTACCTCCCTTTATGTTTCCTTCTTCCCCTCCTCTCCTCTTTCCTTCTTTCCTTTCCGTCCCCTACCTCCCTTTATGTTTCCTTTCCTTCTCCTTCCTCCCTTTATGTAATAAATCCCTGACTACATTTTAGTGCATCAAATATTCAGTGTTCATGCTTTCCTAAAATATTCCTAATGCATTTTTAACATGGCAAATGAAAATGCAATTTGTCTAATATTTAAACGTACGTGCAGAAGTGAACACCTGTTGATATCCAAGCATCGAAAGCCTAAAAGAAGGGTTAGACTTTAGGTTTACACTGAACATTATTGAAGACGATAATGTTCAAAAATCAAGACGTTTAAGTGCAAAAATATTCTGGTTATCGCAAAAAAACTTCTGCATTTTAACAGAAACATTAAAATATCCACAGTTTAGCATTCAGAGCCGAAACTGAATGTGAACATAGTCGCTCTCTCATTATGAGTCAGCTACCGTCCTCACCTGTCATAACATTGTGTGGTTTATATATTTAATGTTTAATATAATTTATATAATACTAACCGCCTTCCTCTCCGTCTCAGTTTCCCCGCAGAGATCCAGTCGGGTCTGCTGGAGGTCGTCTCTCCGTCCGTCCACTTCTACCCCGACTTCTCCAAACTCAGAGAGTCCTTCGGAGACCCCAAAGAGAGAGTCAGGTGTGTGTGTGTGTGTGTGTGTGTGTGTGTTGTGTGTGTGTGTGTGTGTGTGTGTGTGTGTGTGTGTGTGTGTGTGTGTGTGTGTGTGTGTGTGTGTGTGTGTGTGTGTGTGTGTGCGCGTGCGTGTGTGTGAAATGAATCCAGTGAGTTTATAACACTTCACTTCATTGAATGTTTACTTTCTTTAATTTTAAATACCTGCAGTTAATCATGATTAAAGCTCACACACACACACACACACACACACACACACACACACACACACACACACACACACACACACACACACACACTCCTGTATGAACCTTACCTGTATGTGTGTGTGATTTATCAGCAGTGTGTGTGTGTGTGTGTGTGTGTGTGTGTGTGTGTGTGTGTGTTGTGTGTGTGTGTGTGTGTGTGTGTGTGTGTGTGTGTGTGTGTGTGTGTGTGTGTGTTAAACAGCTCCCTAGGCATCTGTCAGCCTGTCATGGCTAATTCATGAGGCTCCAAAAAACAGTTAACTAAACACCCACACACACACACACACATACACACACATACACACCGCTGATAAATCACACACACATACATACACACACCCCCACACACTCTCACATGCACACACGCAGACACAGTCACACACACACACACACACACACACACACACACACACACACACACACACACACACACACACACACACACACACACACACGGTGAAGATCAAGGTGACATCGTTTTAGGTAATAAAGTGTGGCTCCGCCCCTTTGTTGTTACCGTGGTAACACAGGAGAGAGAGATGTGAGGTGAGGGTTTTGGGGCGAGAGAGGAAGAGAGGGACTAAAGTAACAGAGGGGGGGGGACAGGAAGTTAAAAGAAGGGAGGATGACATCATCTATCGTTTCTTCATTACCTTTTTAACGCTTCAAGTTTAGTATCGTTTCACGTCCATCTTGGATTTTTATAAACAATTTTTTTCATTTTTTTGGCCGTCGCCATTTTTTACATGGTGAGTTTTTTAGTGAGTAGATTTTTGGCGGCGACCTTGTTGGTTTGTGCCAGTTGCCATCTTGGTTTTTGGGGAATTGATCTCTTGGTTTTGATGGTCATCTTCTAGGTTCTTGGCCGTTTACATGTTGGTTTCTGATCTGGCTATCTTTCAATATCTTCTGATTTCTACATGTTGGTTCTGATCTGGCTATCTTCAATATCTTTCTGATCTGGCTATCTTCAATATCTTCTGATTTCTACATGTTGGTTTCTGGCTGTCAACATTTGTTTTTGGGGCTTTATCATTTTGATTTCTGATTCCTCCATCCTAGAGTTTTCACCTTTCACCTTCTACATCTTAATGTTTGCCCATTGCCATCTTGTTTTTTTAGGCGTCTCTGTCTTGGTTTCTCTCTGTCACCATATGGTTTGTAACTATCGCCATATTCAACTCTGTGTCACCATCTCCATGTATATGTCGTTGGGTTTTGGCATTTAGTTTTGTGGCCGTCACCATCTTGTTTTTGGGAATGCCAACTCGGTTTCAGCCCGTATTCATCTTGCTTTCTTTACAATCCATTCTTGGGTTTTTTGACCGTCGCCATTCCAATTTATTTGTTGGTTTTTCCTCTTGGTTATCCTGGGTTTAGGGAATCAATATCTCTGGTTTTGGTTAGGCTATCTTTAATATTCTCCGTTACAATCTACGTGTTGGTTTCAGTCCATTTGTTTTTGGGCTTTGTCATTTTTTTATTTCTCCAACTTGGTTTTGTAGTGGACATCCTGGAGTTTTAATTTCACCTTCTACGTCTGTTTTTTTTTAAGGCGTCACTCTCTTGGTTTCTGTCTGTTGCCATATGGTTTGTAAGTAAGTCCATATTCAAACTCTGTCGTTGGGTTTTGTTAATTTGTTTTTTGGCCGTCATCATCTCATTTTTGGAAATGCCATTTCGTTTTTTTGCCCGTATTCATCTTGTTTTTTTACAATCGCCATTTTTAGGCATGGTTTTTGCCATTTACATTTTTTGGGCGCTATCTTGTTGTTTTTCCCCCTTGGCTGTCCTGTTTTTAGGGAACCGATACCTTGGTCTTTGGTTAGGCTTTCTTGAATACTTGATGATTTCTCCATCTTGGTTTTGCAGGGGCCATCCTGGAGTTTTGCTTTCACCTTCTACATCTTGATTTTTGGCCATTGCCATCTTGTTTTTTTTAGGCGTCTCTGTCTTGGTTTCTCTCTGTCACCATATGGTTTGTAACTATCGCCATATTCAACTCTGTGTCACCATCTCCATGTTTCTGTCGTTGGGTTTTGGCATTTAGTTTTGTGGCCGTCACCATCTTGTTTTTGGGAATGCCAACTCGGCTTCAGCCCGTATTCATCTTGCTTTCTTTACAATCCATTCTTGGGTTTTTTGACCGTCGCCATTCCAATTTATTTGTTGGTTTTTCCTCTTGGTTATCCTGGGTTTAGGGAATCAATACCTCTGGTTTTGGTTAGGTTATCTTTAATATCTTCTGTCACCATCTACGTGTTGGTTTCTCTCCGTCACCATCTTGTTTTTGGGCTGTGTCATTTTGATTTCTGCAACTTAGTTTTGCTTTCGCCTTCTACATCTTGTTTTTTTTAAGCGTCACTGTCTTGGTTTTTGTCTGTTGTTATATGGTTTGTTACTATAGTCATATTAAAACTCGGTGTCACCATCTCGGTGTTTCTGTCGTTGGGTTTTGGCATTTCGTTTTTTAGCCGCCATCATCTTGTTTTTGGGAATGCCATTCGGTTTTAGGGCATGCCCATCTCAGTTGGATACTATCTCTGGTCACGCTTCTTCATCTGCTTGCCTCCAGAGATATTCATACTTGTATTTGAAACACGGGGTGTGTTTGTGTCTCAGAAGCAGCTGACTTTATTCGTCCTGCAGACAGAAAGAGACAGAAAGCGTCCCCTGTGTTAACGCTACTCACCAGGATTATAACAAGACGTTTGAGTAAAACCTTTAAACTGAAAGAGAGTTTCTTGCAGCGTGTGCTCATCACATGGTGCAGGGACACAAAGAGCTCTCACTGATCCACATGCTCAGAGGTCAGAGGTCGGGGGTTCGTTTCAGATCCTGACGCCTGCAGCTTTAACTGACTTCAGAGAATAAAAGCTCTGTTGCTTTCAAAGAGAGACGTAAACATGAACTATGAATAATAAAGCTTGTATTAGGATGCCTTCTAGTGTTCGCAGGAGCCGCTGCAGGAGGAGAGAAGAGATCTTATTTTAGCATTTCTTGGACGACAATTGTTTCTGTTAATGAAATGTAATAACATACGATTCTTAAACGGGCCGTTCTGCATAATCACTCTTTATGTTTTTGGTACTTTCAGTTTATTTAATGGCAAATGATTTCCCCTTCAACACGGTGTGTGTACACTTCTTAGTACTTTTAATGTAATATCTGCACACTTCCTCCCCTCTGGGTGTGGATATAATAGATTAAAGGATGCAGCGGCTCCTCTGAGAGTGTGTGTGTGTGTGTGTGTGTGTGTGTGTGTGTGTGTGTGTGTGTGTGTGTGTGTGTGTGTGTGTGTGTGTGTGTGTGTGTGTGTGTGTGTGTGTGTGTGTGTGTGTGTGTGTGTGTGTGTGTGTGTGTGTGTGTGTGTGTTTACCTCTGCTGCTGTTTGCTAATCATGTCTGTGCACACACTAATTCACTGCTGCATGAACACACACACACACACACACACACACACACACACACACACACACACACACACACACACACACACTGAGGTATTGATGATACATGTTTGCTCTGTAATCCTTCAGAGAAACTGCAGATTATTCAGTGTGTGTTCTGTGTGTGTTCTGTGTGTGTTCAGTGTGTGTTGTGTGTGTGTGTGTGTGTGTGTGTGTTCTGTGTGTGTTCAGTGTGTGTTGTGTGTGTGTGTGTGTGTGTGTGTGTTCAGTGTGTGTTCAGTGTGTGTTCAGTGTGTGTTCTGTGTGTGTTCTGTGTGTGTTCAGTGTGTGTTGTGTGTGTGTGTGTGTGTGTGTGTTCAGTGTGTGTTCTGTGTGTGTTCTGTGTGTGTTCTGTGTGTGTTCAGTGTGTGTTGTGTGTGTGTGTGTGTGTGTGTGTGTGTGTGTTCAGTGTGTGTTCAGTGTGTGTTCAGTGTGTGTTCTGTGTGTGTTCTGTGTGTGTTCTGTGTGTGTTCAGTGTGTGTTGTGTGTGGTGTGTGTGTGTGGTTCAGTGTGTGTTCAGGTGTGTTGTGTGTTCTGTGTGTTGTGTGTGTTCAGTGTGTGTTCAGTGTGTGTTCTGTGTGTGTGTGTGTGTGTGTGTGTGTGTGTTCAGTGTGTGTTCTGTGTGTTCAGTGTGTTGTTGTGTGTGTTCAGTGTGTGTTCAGTGTGTGTTCTGTGTGTGTGTGTGTGTGGTGTGGTGTGTGTGTGTGTGTGTGTGTGTGTGTGTTCAGTGTGTGTTCTGTGTGTGTTCAGTGTGTGTTGTGTGTGTTCAGTGTGTGTTCAGTGTGTGTTCTGTGTGTGTGTGTGTGTGTGTGTGTGTTGTGTGTGTGTGTGTGTGTGTGTGTTCAGTGTGTGTTGTGTGTGTTCATTGTGTTCTGTGTGTTCTGTGTGTGTGTGTGTGTTCTGTGCGTTCTGTGTGTGTTCTGTGTGTGTTCTCTGTGTGTGTGTGTTCAGTGTGTGTTCAGTGTGTGTGTTCAGTGTGTGTTCTGTGTGTGTGTGTGTGTGTGTTGTGTGTGTGTGTGTGTGTGTGTGTGTTCATGTGTGTGTTCAGTGTGTGTGTGTGTGTGTGTGTTCAGTGTGTGTTCTGTGTGTGTTCAGTGTGTGTTCAGTGTGTGTTCAGTGTGTGTTCTGTGTGTGTTCAGTGTGTGTTCAGTGTGTGTTCAGTGTGTGTTCAGTGTGTGTTCTGTGTGTGTTCAGTGTGTGTTCAGTGTGTGTTCTGTGTGTGTTCAGTGTGTGTGTTCAGTGTGTGTTCAGTGTGTGTTCATTGTGTGTTCAGTGTGTGTTCAGTGTGTGTTCAGTGTGTGTTCTGTGTGTGTTCAGTGTGTGTTCTGTGTGTGTTCGTGTGTGTGTTCAGTGTGTTCTGTGTGTGTTGTGTGTGTGTTCAGTGTGTTCATTGTGTGTTCAGTGTGTGTTCAGTGTGTGTTCAGTGTGTGTTCTGTGTGTGTGTTCAGTGTGTGTTCAGTGTGTGTTCAGTGTGTGTTCAGTGTGTGTTCAGTGTGTTCATTGTGTGTTCAGTGTGTGTTCAGTGTGTGTTCAGTGTGTGTTCTGTGTGTGTTCAGTGTGTGTTCAGTGTGTTTCTGTGTGTGTGTTCAGTGTGTGTTCAGTGTGTGTTCAGTGTGTGTTCTGTGTGTGTTCTGTGTGTGTTCTGTGTGTGTTCTGTGTGTGTGTTCAGTGTGTGTTCTGTGTGTGTTCTGTGTGTGTTCTGTGTGTGTTCTGTGTGTGTTCTGTGTGTGTTCTGTGTGTGTTCTGTGTGTGTTCTGTGTGTGTGTTCTGTGTGTGTTCTGTGTGTGTTCTGTGTGTGTTCTGTGTGTGTTCTGTGTGTGTTCTGTGTGTGTTCTGTGTGTGTTCTGTGTGTGTGTTCAGTGTGTGTTCAGTGTGTGTGTTCAGTGTGTGTTCAGTGTGTGTTCTTCCACCATCATGCTCATTTTTCTCATCTGTGTCCGTCAGCTGTTTAACTTCATTATGTTCTCCTTGTGTTTCAGGTGGAGGACGAAGCAGAACCTGGACTATTGTTACCTGATGATGTACGCTCAGTCCAAAGGAACCTACTACGTCCAGGTAGGAGAAAACCTTGGCTGTGGACATTGTTTTCTAGTATTTATACTTCAGTAAATATCTTAATACTTTAAAATAATATATATATATACTCCTGTCTCTCAGCTGGAGGACGACATCGTGGCCCGTCCGAACTTCTTCACCACGATGAAGAACTTTGCCCTGCAGCAGCCGTCGGAGGAGTGGATGATCCTCGAGTTCTCCCAGCTGGGCTTCATCGGTGAGGCTGCTGTCATTATCTTAAAGGTCTCAGATATATACAGAGCCTGTCTCTGATTGGCTGAAACACCAAACAGATCATTGCAGCATTACCCATAAGCCCCTCTGTTTCAGCCCTGTTTCCAAAGTGCTGATTCTCTGTCTGTTACTTTAGATGAAAATAAGGAGCCCCTCCCCACGCCCCTCTGAGAGAGATTTGGTTCAAAAGAACACATTAGCCGCGTTCACACCGGAGTACTTTTCAGTAGCAGCTGCTGGGAGTCCCAGCAGCTGCTACTGAAGCCAGTCCCCAACTCCGGGGACTTTGGGTGGCAGTATACACCGTGAAGTGGTTTGCGGCCTGCCAATAACCCAAAGCAGAAGAAGAAGAAGTGACGTCAGCGGCTTCATTTGCGTAATCTTCCCTCAGGGACTTATTCCGGTGTGAACGCGATCTGCTCTTTAGTTTAGGAACTAAGAGCTGGGAACTAAGTACGGCAAAGTACTTGGTGTGAAAGCGGCTAACGGTGCTCTAGGAGGAGATTCAGGTGATAAGGGGGGGGGTTACCTTCATTGCTGATTGGCTAATGGTTACACAAGCCAAAACATCGTTATGACCAGGGCTGCACATAACTGGTGCGCCCCCGCCAAAAAAAGGTTCTCACTAGGGCACCCCCCCCCCCCCCCTTCATAAGAACCCCGCAAAAAAGTTATGTACACCCCTGGTTATGACATCATAGAGTGGCCAAAATCTGATCAGCTCATTTTCAGACAGGTTTTTTATAAAAATGGATCAGGACAAAAAGAGAGAGAATCTTTGTTCCTGAAACTTCAGAGTCTCTTTCCACAGAGGGGACACATGTTGATGAAGAAGAGACATGAAGAAGAGGGGACACATGTTGATGAAGAAGAGACATGAAGAAGAGGGGACACATGTTGAGGAAGAAGAGACATGAAGAAGAGGGGACACATGTTGATGTAGAAGAGACATGAAGAAGAGGGGACACATGTTGATGAAGAAGAGACATGAAGAAGAGGGGACACATGTTGATGTAGAAGAGACATGAAGAAGAGGGGACACATGTTGATGAAGAAGAGACATGAAGAAGAGGGGACACATGTTGATGTAGAAGAGACATGAAGAAGAGGGGACACATGTTGATGAAGAAGAGACATGAAGAAGAGGGGACACATGGTGATGTAGAAGAGACATGAAGAAGAGGGGACACATGTTGATGAAGAAGAGACATGAAGAAGAGGGGACACATGTTGATGTAGAAGAGACATGAAGAAGAGGGGACACATGTTGATGTAGAAGAGACATGAAGAAGAGGGGACACATGTTGATGAAGAAGAGACATGAAGAAGAGGGGACACATGTTGATGTAGAAGAGACATGAAGAAGAGGGGACACATGTTGATGAAGAAGAGACATGAAGAAGAGGGGACACATGTTGATGTAGAAGAGACATGAAGAAGAGGGGACACATGTTGATGGAGAAGAGACATGAAGAAGAGGGGACACATGTTGATGGAGAAGAGACACGAAGAAGAGGGGACACATGTTGATGTAGAAGAGACATGAACAAGTGGATTTTGCATAATAGGAGACCCTTAACTAATAATTAACACTTAAACACTTCTTCAATCTGTGTGGTGACAGCGAGGAACAAAAGTCACATAAAAACTAAACCAACACAATTTAAAAAAGGCTAAACGATGGGAAAAGTTGATTCACGTTCAAGCTTATAATCTGATGTTGGTTTTAACGATATTTATTTACGGCATGTTTGATTTTATCGTTGCTATTTGTTTAAAACTATTTCCAAAGGTGGAGATCAGATGTTGTTAATCTCTTCAGTCTTCAGAGGATCCTGAACAGAAACCACTCTGCTGGTAAATTAAAGCGTCAGCTCTGTGATTATTGATCAGTCCGGACAGAATAATTAAACGTCTCCGACATGTCGACCCTCTCCTGAAGCTCTGAGACCAGAAACTTTATTATTGATCCGAAACATCTCATCTGGAACCGCTGGAAATGTGTCTCTGAAAAGTCCATAAGGTACCAAACAAAACTTACTTTAAAGAGTCCTCTCCTCCTGATGTTCAGGTGTATATCAGTATGTAGTGTCCTCTACTTTAAGAGTCCTCTCCTGCTGATGTTCAGGTGTATATCAGTATGTAGTGTCTCTACTTTAAAGAGTCCTCTCCTGCTGATGTTCAGGTGTATATCAGTATGTAGTGTCTCTACTTTAAAGAGTCCTCTCCTGCTGATGTTCAGGTGTATATCAGTATGTAGTGTCTCTACTTTAAAGAGTCCTCTCCTGTTGATGTTCAGGTGTATATCAGTATGTAGTGTCTCTACTTTAAAGAGTCCTCTCCTGCTGATGTTCAGGTGTATATCAGTATGTAGTGAAGTAAACAAAGGAGTCTTAATATAATAGGTCTCCTCAAATGTATAAGAACTAAAAACAAAAGTGACCTAAACTCCTGATAGACTATATTTTGTAACAACAGGTTACGCTTCCGGTTTCATCTGGAAAAAGTATTTGGCACCACTAAATAAAAAACTCTGTAAATATGAGGTCCTTTTATTTGGTAACTGTGACTGTTTCCCTCACAAGCGAACAATCAATCTTTTAATGGAGAAAATAATCAGCAGATTAATCCA